TTGGGCCATAGGGGAGCAGCTCATAGTGGATGATACTATATTTATAGGGGAATGTCGTCAGGGTTGGACACACTTTCGACCCTTGCCCATAATTATCGTTTTAATAAGAATTAAGATCATTTGCGTAAATAGTTTGAAAGGTAAAGGCAAAAGGTATGTCTGACAATGAACATTATGTTGTGAAATGAAAAACATAGAAATGGCGAGTATTTAAAAAAAAAAAAAAATTGTAGTCAGGCTTGGCCACTGTAGTCAGGGTTGGACACTTGAATTGCTACTTCAGAAAAGTAGCAATAAAAGAGGACATTATCCATGGATCAGGTGTATTTTATGTCTTTTGACTATTTTTTATTGTGAACAACAAATTTTACAACCAAGTATGAAAAAAAAATTAATCAGATTCGCAATTAGTACAAACAAAATAACTTTTTGTCATTTTGGCACATTTGAGGTGAACGTCTCGTTTACTTTCTCTACATGCAAGAGAGTTGTTGCGATTCAAGTGTCGTGGCATTGTTTGTAAGCATATTATGCAAAAGTCTGTAAAAAACATTGGAAAAATTAAAATATTCTGACAAAAGGGAAAAAACCAAGGGTGTCCAACCTTGACAACAAAAAGTGTCCAACCCTGAATACATGAGTCATAACCCTACCGCACAACATAACCACCAAATCGCTTTATTTAAAACAAATTTTTTTTTAGGATTTCGTTAAGGGGGGAACCTTTTAACGTATTTTTAAACTTACCCTGCGGATGGCATATTTTCCGTTGAATTATGCCACTTTTTTTGCGCGTTCTCCTATACTTTTTTCGTCACTATCACGACACTATGTCAAAAAAACAGGAAAATTAACAGGGATGCGGCTTGGCATGAAAAGTTTCCCACAGTGGAAACAATTAATACCACATTCGCACACAGATGGCGATAGTTGGTGTCGGGTCATCCAGCCGCAGCAGATATTTAGGATCTCTTAATGCTAGCTCTTAGCTTATCTGCATAATTACCATCGCTCTCTCTCTCGTTATCCTTCTACTTGCTCTCTCTCGTTGCTTGTCGGCTTCTTTTTTTGGGTCAGCAATCGGCTGATCCGCGACTCAATTCAATTGTATTACTTCCTTTCGATCTCGCGGAACTTTATAACTCATTTCGTCGAAATAAAATCGCTGCTCTCGCATAAATCGAACTCAAAATTCTTGTTAATTTTTTAATTCAACAGCTAATAAAAAAGCTTATTAGCTCAACATTTGGTGACCCCGACGTGATTTGTGCATAAAAGGGACTCAGTGCAAGTCACAAAAATTAATTTATTTTACCAGGCTGCATATTTTGCTTAATCTGTGTTGCAGCTACATTGTGCGTTTACCTGCCATAAACAACACAAATATTATAAATTGATTTGTGAAATTAATAACACTCTTGGTTACACAAACTTGTACATAAGTCGGTATATAGACCAGCAGCGGACCAATTTTTCGCATTCTCCTTTGCGCTCATCTTCCCGCTGAAGCCGAATTTTGCCCGCTGAGTCTGCTGCATATCTCACTTTATGTTTGTTGTAAAACAATAAAATTAATTGATTTATGCAAATAATAGCACTCTGGTTACAAAAGCTTTACATAAGGCGGTATATAGACCAGAAGCGGACCGAATTTTCGCTGTTCCCCGTTACGCTTATCTTCCCGCTGAAGCCGAATTTTGCCCGCCGAATCTGCTGCATTTATTTGTTGTTGTTGCTGCTTAACATGGCTTCAGAAAATTCGGTTAGCTTCACCGACAATCGCAATTCAAACAGGGTGACATTTTTGAGGCGCAAGGCAACTTCAATGTTTAATAGAGTGGAGCGGTTAATGGAATCCCTTTCAAGTTCGGCTTTGAATTCTTTTGACGATTCTGGCCTTCATGTGAGGTTGGAACTCATCGAGGAGCTTCAAAAGGCGTTTAAAAAGGTTCTCAACGAGCTGGAAGAATTGGACTTTGAGGAAATTGGAAATGACTTGGAGGAAAAATTTGATGATGTCGTCGTAATCCTGAAGTCGACGGTTCGATCGGAGATCACAAAGCGTTCCTCGCAACTGCTTCAGCACTCAACCTTTGCTGATGGCAATACGCCCGGTCATTTCGGCCATCAGCAGCGGGAAGCTCTGCGCCGAGCGATTCCACTTCCCGCTCTTGAACTTCCGAAATTCGCTGGAGGTTATGCGAATTGGGCAGATTTCTATTCTATGTTTACAACCATCATAGATAGTCATCCTGACCTGACCAACATAGAAAAGCTGCAGCATCTACGTTCATGCCTGAGGGATTCTGCGTTGGAAACCATCCGCTCGCTGGAAATTTCGGATGGCAATTATTCTGTGGCATTGGACTTGTTGCAAAAAAGATTTGATAATCGTCGTTTAGTTTTTCAGGCACACATTACTGAGATCCTGGGGCTTAAGGCAGTGCAGAGTGGTTCCGTCTCGATGCTTCGTGAGCTGTCCGATAAGTTTAACGCTCATATTCGTGCTCTAAAAGGATTGGGCACAACTGAACAAATCGCAGGATGCATCATCGTCCAAGTACTGCTGCAAAAGCTAGATTCTGCGAGCCAGGCCAAATGGGAAGAGCGGTTAGAGGATCCAGCATTCGTCAATGTAATTCCGACGTGGGAATCCATGGCATCATTTTTGGAGCAGCGATGCAGGACATTGGAGACGATGGATTTCGCCATGGCAAGCTATGCGTCTGGCAATCAGGTGGGAAATAATAGAGCGACTAATTCCCGTAGATCCGCTTTTGTTGCCACAAATATCAACCCATGGATTTGTTCATACTGTAATGCTTCTGGTCACTCTATTCACTATTGCCAAGATTTTAAAGCCCTACCCCCTGCTAATCGGCTTCAAGAAGTGAAGAGACTCGCTCTTTGCATAAACTGCCTTAAGTTAGGGCATCAGTTGAGGCAATGCAATTCAAGCAATTGTCGTGCATGCGGAGCTAAACACCACACCCTCCTTCACTTGGGAAATTTGGCCTCAGCTACTCCACAGACAGGATCTCAGCTTCTAGAAGCTCATGCCTCTATTGCACCCAATACTGTCGTTGAACCATCTGCCGCGCCTTCCTCATCCACTGCTCTTATTGCTCAGGATTTCAGTACTGACATTGTGCTCCTAGCCACTGCCACTGTTCTCATAAAAAATCGGTCTGGAGTTTTCGTTCCATGTCGAGCCCTCCTTGACTCCGGCTCTCAGCTGCATCTTATAACATCTCGCTTCGCAGATCAGCTTCAAATAAAGAAGATAAAGACTTCGGCTTCTGTGACTGGAATAGGTGATTCCAGCTTTGTTACCAATGGTCACTCAGTCAATATTACGATGCAGTCCCGAACCTCTGAATACACGGTGAATATAACCGCAGTCATTGCTCCCAATATAACTGAGCGACAGCCTAGTTTCAATGTGGACATCGGCAGCTGGAAAATACCGCAAAACATACAATTAGCTGATCCCACATTTTATGTCCCTCAGCGTGTGGATCTCTTGATTGGAGCCAGTTTGTTTTACGAGCTGTTGTGCGTTGGGCAAATTAAGCTCCCACCTGGCTTACCGCTTATACAAAAAACTCGCCTGGGCTGGGTTGTTTCCGGAGGATATGGCGTCTCCAATGGCTCATCGTTAACCTCGACCATGGCCTTGCCTACCATTAATAAGGATAATAGCTTGGATCGACTTGATGATCTTCTTCGTCGATTTTGGGAGGTGGAAAGCTGCGTGGAGCCAATTGCACATGCTACTAAGGAAGAACTGGACTGTGAGGCGCACTTTACAAAGCATTTCATTCGCTCTCCTGCTGGAGATTATTCTGTTCGTTTGCCTGCCAAGCTCAACCTGGAATTATTGGGTGAGTCCTACCAGCAAGCTTATCGTAGATTCCTGTCCCTAGAGAGGAAACTAGATCGTCGGCCAGCCTTGAAGTCCCAATATGCGGCTTTTATAAAGGAATACCTTGACTTGGGGCACATGTCAACAGTTGCTGGCGCAGACCTCGCTTCTTGTCGCTTCTTTTTGCTTCATCATTGCGTCATAAAGGAGGAGAGTTCCACTACAAAGCTTCGCGTAGTTTTTGACGGATCTGCCGCGACTTCATCAGGCTACTCTCTTAATGATTTGCTCATGGCAGGCCCCGTAATTCAGCACACCCTGTTCCAGATTCTGATTCGTTTTCGCTCATACCCGGTAGCCATCACTGGAGACATTTGTAAGATGTACCGTTGTGTCAAGGTCCATCCAGAGGACAGCTATTTGCAATGCATTTTATGGAGGACTTCCCCACAGGACAAGCTGCAAGTGTACAAGCTGGACACCGTCACTTATGGCACGAAGCCTGCATCATTTCTGGCTGTGCGGGCTATGCATCAGCTGTCAAGAGACGAGCATTCTTCGTTTCCGCTTGGGGCTGAGGTTATTCAGCGTGACTTTTACGTAGATGATTTGATATCTGGAGCCCAGACCGTGGACGAGGCTATCATCATTGTAAATCAGACCTCTAAAATTCTGTCCAGAGGAGGCTTCAAACTTAGAAAGTGGTGCTCAAACGTTCCAGCGGCTTTGTGTGGTGTGTCTGACGAAGATAAGGAGTCATATTTGAAGTTTGATGACGGCACTGACTTTACCAAAACTCTGGGCTTAGCCTGGGATCCTGCTTCTGATCAGCTATTGTTCTCTTTTTTCTGTCTTGCAGTTGACCTCAAGTCCCTGTAGGCGTTCTGTCTTGTCTGCCATTGCACGATTTTATGATCCTCTTGGATTGGTTGGACCGGTGATAGCGAAAGCGAAAATTTTCCTTCAGCAATTGTGCAAGGAAAGGTTATCCTGGGATGAAAGCCTTCCTGAAGCTCAGAATACGGAATGGAGTTCGATATGCAGGAGTTTTGTGCAAATCAAGCGTTTGTGTTTCCCTCGGCTAGTTCTGTCTCCAAACTCAGAGATTCAGGTCCATGGATTTTGTGATGCCAGCATGGAAGCATACGGCGCCTGTGTCTACATCGTGTGCAGTGGACAGTCGCAGTTGCTTTGTTCAAAGTCAAGGGTTGCTCCCTTGAAGACACTCACCGTGCCCAAGCTGGAGCTTTGTGGAGCCGATCTCTTGTCTAAGCTCATCTCAGAAGTAGCTGGCACCAACGTATTTAAGGGACAGTATTATTGTTGGAGTGACTCTGCGGTTGCGCTGTCCTGGATCCGAGACGAGCCCTCCAGGTTCAACATGTTTGTGGCAAACCGAGTTGCTGCCATCCAAGAGCGAACCGATTCGATGGAGTGGCGTTACGTTCCAACTTCTTTGAATCCGGCTGACATTCTCTCCCGAGGTGTCCTTCCCACTGAGCTGAGCGAGTCCCCTATATGGTTTAACGGGCCGACATTTCTTTGCAGACCCAAGATTGACTGGCCTCCCCCAATCCTTGCTGAGAAGTCAACACTTGAGCTTCGTCGAAAGGTCCTGCTAATTAAATCGCCATACGTAGACATCATAGCCTGTTCCAAATTTGCAAATTCCTTCGCTTCGCTTCAAAGGATTTTCGGATACGTCTTCAAATTTATTAATCGCATTCGGCAGTCGGATCTTAAGGTGTCGGATATCCAAAGCGGTACTCAGTTATTGCTTCGGCTGGTTCAGCGTTCTCATTTATGGGAAGACATAAAATCCTTGCAGTCTAAGGGAGTTGTAGCCCCATCTAGTTCGCTTGCGTCTCTAGCTCCTTTTATTGATCAGTTTGGGCTTCTTAGAGTGGATGGCCGACTAAAAAACTCGTCGCTGGATTTCAATGGCCGTCATCCAATCATATTGCCACGGAGCCATCCTGTCACAGCCGCCGTCATTACTCACTTTCATGAGCGTAATCTGCACACTGGACCTCGGGCCCTACTCGGCATAATTCGATCCCAGTATTGGCCTATTGGGGGGAGGAAGACGGTGAGCAAGGTCTTGAACAAATGCGTCAGATGCTTTCGAACGAAGCCTCGATTAGTCGAGCATGTAATGGCGGATCTCCCAAAGGAGCGATTGGATGGATCGCATGCATTTGAAGTCACTGGCATTGATTTTTGTGGGCCATTCTTTTACAAGCCGGAAGTGCGAAACAAGGCCCCAGTGAAATGCTACGTTTGCGTCTTTATCTGCTTCGCAACAAAGGCCATTCACTTGGAGTTGATCAGGGATCTCTCAACAGTATCATTTCTGCATGGCCTCAAGAGATTTATATGCACCAGGAGAAGACCGCGGCAGATTTGGTCGGACAATGCAACCAACTTTGTCGGTGCACGCAATGAGCTGCTTGAGTTGAGACGCTTGTTCCTCAGCGACGAGCATCAGAAAGCGACGTTGGACTTTTGCCTAGCGGAGCTTATTGATTGGCGCTTTATTCTTCCCAGATCGCCGCATTTTGGTGGTCTCTGGGAAGCAGCGGTGAAGACGGCGAAGTACCATTTCTACCGCGCTATTGGACCTTCAGTGCTGGCCTTCGACGAGCTGCGGACTCTTCTGTGCCATATTTCGGCAGTAGTTAACTCTCGGCCTTTAGTCTCAATTTCAGAAAATCCCGCTGATCTGGATGTGCTAACGCCAGCCCACTTTCTGAATGGTGGTCCACCATCCTCATTCATCGAGCCGGATGTGACCGCCCTTAACTTCAATCGGTTGGATGGATGGCAACGTGTGGCCTATTTGCAGCAAGTCTTCTGGACCCGATGGAAGGAAGAATATCTGACACTACTGCAGCAGCGCTCCAAATGGCGCACCCCGAAGCCTGGCCTGGTTGTAGGTGACGTGGTGCTGGTCAAGGATGAGAACTTGCCTCCGATGAAGTGGCCCCTAGCGAGAGTCGTTGAGCTTCTGTGTGGTGGAGATGGAGTTGCTCGTGTTGCAGTCCTCAAGACAGCGTCAGGAGTGACAAAACGAGCAGTTAATAAGCTGTGTCTGCTGCCCCTTAAGGATGCTGTTGAAAGCCAGGCTTCCAACGGGGGAGTATGTCGGGTCATCCAGCCGCAGCAGATATTTAGGATCTCTTAATGCTAGCTCTTAGCTTATCTGCATAATTACCATCGCTCTCTCTCTCGTTATCTTTCTACTTGCTCTCTCTCGTTGCTTGTCGGCTTCTTTTTTTTGGGTCAGCAATCGGCTGATCCGCGACTCAATTCAATTGTATTTCTTCCTTTCGATCTCGCGGAACTTTATAACTCATTTCGTCGAAATAAAATCGCTGCTCTCGCATAAATCGAACTCAAAATTCTTGTTAATTTTTTAATTCAACAGCTAATAAAAAAGCTTATTAGCTCAACAGTTGGTTTATTAGAAAAATTACAAGTGTCCGACCCTGACAACTGTCCAACCTTGACGACATTCCCCTATTTATTAAAAAAAAATAATAAGGTTTTTTTTCATTCTATATAAAAGAGAAAAAAATAATATGATTATTGTTTATAACAATTGAACTATTTTCAAAAATATTTCTTGTTATTTTCAAGCAGGGCCGTCGACAGGGGGGGTGTTTCCCCCGGGCCCGGACTTCGGAGAGGGGCCCGGATTTTTGGCGAAAACTCAAATAAACCGTGTACAAAAAAGTGCTCCGCGATATTTTAAAGAAATCACTAAGATGTGGAGCCTTAGAAATGATCACTGTTGCCAGAATCGCTTCTTTTCGGAGTCGTTCAGAAATGTTATAACATATTCAGTACAAGCCCTCAACGATGGGAACTCCTTCAAAAGAAAATTCCCTCTTCCCTTCACAGTTTGTCCGATACGCGATGGTCTGCAAGACTTGACGCCGTTAAACCTTTCGCGAAACACCTTTCTGGAATACAAGAAGCACTTGACGAAGTGAAGGAACTCAATTTGACTGCAGAGACTCCGGGACATCAACGGTATTCAAAAATACATGAATTCGTTCGAATGTATCTTGATGTCGTCGATTTGGTTCAATATTTTGGGTGCTATTAATGAGAGAAACGTCGTCCTTCAAGCAAGAGGAGCTACTATAAACGTTGAAGTTGACAATCTGAAGGGTCTCCTTTCAGATTTGCAGTTCATACGAAATCGATGGGATCTCATTCTGAGTGAATGTAAACTTGTTGCAAGAGGGTGGAACATTCCTGAAACTTTACCAACAATTCGAAAAAGAAAACGTGCGAAAGTATTTTTGAATGATGATGACGCAAGTCCAGAAACCGACATCACATCTGAAGAAGAAAAATTCAAGACCAGCATTTTCTTCACCATCATCGATTCGGTCATTGCAGGAATGACAAAAAGATTCAAAGCAGTAAAAAATTTGAACGAAGTGTTCTCTTTTTTATGGAAATTCACCACGTTGGATGAAGATGCTCTTCAGACGTCTGCCGTAGAATTCACGAAGAAGTACGTAGCTGATGTTTCCGAAGAGTTGAAAGATAAAATCGTCCACCTCAAACATATATATGGGTGATTCCATATCAGATTTACAGTCGATATCGGGAAATTCGATGAGATATTTTTTTCATGCTCTTTATCGAAAATAAATCGACACGTATTTTTTATTTGGCTCAGAAAATTTTTTTGACAAAGTTATGATTTTTTGAATTTTTGATGAACTGCCCTTTTTTTGATGACAGTCGCGTTTTCCAGCCCCAATAACTCGAAAACCGTACGTCGCAGAAAAAAAATGAATAGGAAGTAAAAATTTCATCCTTCCTTCTTCTTTGCAAAACTTTCGTGAAAAATTTTTTTAAACAATTTTACACCACAAAAAGTTCAAATGTTTATAACAAATTCATTTTTCTCCAACTTGGACATTTTTGATTTTTTTTTTTTTTCACAATAAATCCTTCAATTTCTTCTGATGAACATACTAAAATTTCAGAATGGGATCAAAATTAGTTTTTGAGTTATAGAATTTTAAAGATTATCATGCACGGTCCGCGCGCTCGGTCTCAGGGCGTGCGCCGACCAACGACTCTAACGAGCGTCAATTCGCTTCGCGCGCGCATAGTAAGGGTCAATAAAATGAATTTTTAATGCTATTTAATTCTATAACTCAAAAACTAATTTTTATCCCATTCTGAAATTTTAGTATGTTCATCAGAAGAAATTGAAGGATTTATTGTGAAAAAAAAAAAAAATCAAAAATGTCCAAGTTGGAGAAAAATGAATTTGTTATAAACATTTGAACTTTTTGTGGTGTAAAATTGTTTAAAAAAATTTTTCACGAAAGTTTTGCAAAGAAGAAGGAAGGATGAAATTTTTACTTCCTATTCATTTTTTTCTGCGACGTACGGTTTTCGAGTTATTGGGGCTGGAAAACGCGACTGTCATCAAAAAAAGGGCAGTTCATCAAAAATTCAAAAATCATAACTTTGTCAAAAAAATTTTCTGAGCCAAATAAAAAATACGTGTCGATTTATTTTCGATAAAGAGCATGAAAAAAATATCTCATCGAATTTCCCGATATCGACTGTAAATCTGATATGGAATCACCCATATGTAGATAATTTTGAAAAAAACCTTCCTCCATTTGCATTGCTGAACGCTCTGTACTCAAAAAATCTTCAAAATCTTTTTCCAAATGTCTGTGTTGCTTTGAGAATTTTTTGTACTCTCCCTGTCAGTGTCGCTAGTGGAGAACGCTCCTTCAGTGTTTTATCGCGAGTTAAAAACTTTCACAGATCTTGTTCTACACAAGAGCGTCTAACTGGTCTGGCGATTTTATGTTTGTAGGCGGAGTAAATCGATTCCTTTGCCTCTGCAAAGGCGCGAAAAGCGAATTTAAGTGGATAAAAACTAACCGTGATAGCGACGATAACTTGAAAATTAGTCATTTTTTTATAACCGTCATGCTACGAGTCCTTGCCTTTTGTGTTCACGCCATTCTCGAATATTGTGTCCATTTCGCAACACTTTATTTTTGTCAGAAAATAAAATTTCACATTACACTCTAATTTTTATATTGATCTTTATTATTCGAGTAGTAGTAGAAATAAAATATATTTGAAACTTTCGTTATTTTCGAAAATTTTTCTTATTATATGGGGGCCCGTGAGTTGTACCCCCCGGGCCCGAAATTCCCTCTCGACGGCCCTGTTTTCAAGGTATGTTTCAAATTTCAAGTGAATCGTTTAGTTAGTGTCCGGCTAAAATTAAAAATACAGTTTTGAGATACACGTGTTTGAAAAAGGAGACGCAAAAGGAGAGAGGAAAAGATAGATTTTTCCGGTCACAAGTTTTTTAGGACATTAATTTTGGGCTCAAGAAAGGAAGTTGATATACCCTTGCAGTCATTAAATATATCGAACAAAATACATAAAGGCTAAACAACATCGAAGCTATGTCGACTTTTCTATTAAGTTTCCATGTTTTCGACGATTTTTTATATGACAGGTATATTATATAGTATCGGTACAAAAGTTTACATAATTTTTTCAAGTTGGCATATCCGTCATTATAAATGTCACTCCGAATTCTAAACTGAACAGAGGAAATTGATCTAATCGACTTATTCCAGGGCTGCAGCAATGGAATATATTACTCTTGCTCGTTCAGCAGATTAATTTCCATAGATGGCGCAGAAGGAAGCAAATACCAGTTGAAAAGAACAAAATCAGAATTGTTTAAAAATATGAAACATCTTTTAGTACGTCATACTTAATGCTTAAAATATGTAATAATATGCAATATTATAATGTTTTTTCGAAATCATTATTAACTTTTCTTTCAAAATATACCAAAAACCTAGTTATTATTATTTTAAAGATATTGTTCTTAAACGCTTACTACTAACTTTTGTTAGTTGTTTTGTAATCTTATTTTTGCATTTTAAACTGTTACGAAAGGGACATCTGCCGGCGTGCTTCTGTTCCCATTTTCCAAATCGTACCTTATAAAAGTTCCGTAAGTAAAACAATTTTATCCGGAACTAGTGTTTTGGGTGAGACACAAGTTCTCGGATAAAAAGTCCTCCCATTCTTAAAGTTCAGCTCCTCAGAGTTGTACATCACTTGATACTTTCCAAAAGCATTTTACGACATCTAGCTGTGAACAATAATTTTGGGTTTCCCATATTTGGTATTTTTTTGTAGGGAACTCCTTTTCATTCATTATGGTAGTTGTTTAAATATGTTATAAATTGTTAATGTTAGCTCTTTAAGATAGAGACTATTTTAAGTGTTAGCAACTTATTTTTTAAGTATTTTAATGTCCAGTTTTTGTCTTATTAAGTCCCAAAAAAAAAAACAACTTCTATAAATTTATAAGAAATGCCACTTTTTCAGACCGTAAATAGACAAATACTAAAACGAACTTTTTCAAACGACAGCGATTTAGTAAAACTAATTACAGAATTAGAAATTTCCAAAATAAAAGATTGCACGGCTTCTCCAACTTCTTTTCTAAAACAATATTTTAATATATTTATTTTTGTATTTTATACAAATTTAAAATCGAACTGTGCCATTGTTACTGGGTGCGGTAAAGAAATAATTGTTGTCTACAACTTAACAAGGAATACATCCTGTGCATTGACAAACCAATAAAATCAAGCAAATTTGTCGCGTAACGTCTTTTGCAGTAAACGCTGATATTTCACTACAATATTATTAGCACTTATGCAGTGTAGAAACAGTGAGTTAAATTTATAAATAAACTTTATGAATAATATTTTGTGATCAATTTTAAAGGCGTCCTGTATTAAGCCGTTACTCGAAGTAACTAATATAATTGTTATCTTTTTGTTTATTTACAATTTTTAGGATAATTGGCTTGAAGGTTAGGTAGTTTTATTATTTGTAAATAACATGTTGAATTTCAACTTGCCACTCGTCATTTAACAATTCAATAAATCGTTTTTCATAAAATAAAAATATTTGATAAATTCGCTTTTCTAAATTTTAAGTTCTGAAACAAAATTTAATTAACTTTTAATATTTTAACGACAATTAAATTCCTGACATATTTTCCTTTTTCCCTTTCTTTAAGTCTCAGAAATCTAAAGTTGGAGATTTGTATAAATATAGACAAGACTGATAAATTAGTTCGCCAAAGAAGTTTCACTTCTGACATGTGTACTTTGTACGCACGCCCTTTTTTTTTTTGTTTTTGTTTACATTAAATATAAATCCGAATAAAAACCCTAAAGCAAAATCGTCTATTTATTTTTAACAGTTTGCGAAAAAGCTTGCATATTTTACAGTAGCTATGGTCAGCAAAATAAGTTTTATTACAAAACATTCCAGTTCCTGCGTGGCCTGACAGAAGCTCAGACCTGCTCATTTTTCGATCGAGAAACTAGCTTTTTCTGTTTATTTATTGAGTCATCTTCATACCAAGAAAAATTACTTCCCTTGAAATAAGGAGAAAATACAGGGTGGGCCATTTAAAGTTGACCCACTTGATTCTTAAAACAAAAACAAAAAAAGTGGACAATTTTTTTTTTATTCCAAAAATCAATTATTTTGGTCCAAGGAGATTTTTTACAAATTATTATTAAAAATGATATCACGTAAATGGGCACCTTTAGCTCTGACAGCCGAATGCATTCTTTTTTCAGCATTTCCCATGACTTTGGTCAATGTTTCAGACGATATGGCGGCTATTTCACGTCTAATGTTGTCTTTTAGTTGACTCAAGGTTTTTGGGTTATTAGCGTATACCTTGGATTTCAAATAACCCCACAAATAAAAGTCTGGTGCCGTCAAATCTGGTGATGTTGGGGGCCAGTCAAAATCACCACTTTTCGATATCAACAGCCCAGGGAATAATGTTCGCAATAAATCGATTGTTGCTCTAGCTGTATGGCAAGTTGCCCCGTCCTGTTGAAACCAGAAGTTATCCATGACATTTTCACGAATAATAGGCATCAGAAATTCGGTTATCATTGCTCGATAACGCTCACCATTGATGGTTATCGTGGCTCCATCATTGTCTTCGAAAAAATACGGTCCGATGATCATCTTCGCGTAAACACCGTTGCCTGGATACATGACTGGCATTACTTAGATTACCGGTGTTTACAAATTTTGCGTACAAAGACTTAATTGTGTTTTGAACTTTATTCATTTTACGAAACGCACGTTGGGTTAACACAATTGAGAATTTATTTTCAATGTAGAGCTGAACAATTTGAGCGCGTTCCTTTGTAGTGTATTGTTCCATGGTATCAATTGTCTTCGACTGACGCTTCCAACGTGGTATGACATTTGACGATCTGTCGACGCTGTCAAAAGTTACAGGGTTGCCAAATGGGTAAAATTTAAATGGCCCACCCTGTATTTTTTTATTGCACTAGCCTTATTGTGTGACACTTTTATCAAGTGCCCGCTATCAGCAGGATCAAAATTGCAAAGTCAAGATGCATAACGAGGAACGAGGACGAGCCAGTAGCGAGCTTAGGCACAGTCGCAGCATGAAGAGAACTCGGCAAAGTAGCGGACGCGAAGCTGGAGCGCTGCCAAGGGAGTCATCTTAGACGAGCACAAGCACGATGAACAATATTCCGTTTGCTAAGGATAAAAACCATCTGTGTTCTTTCTTAAACAAGGGCATTCACGCCAAAATAAATTTCTTGGTGCGAACCAATACACTCAGTTCCGCTAGCCTCACTCAGTATCGAGCACAAATAAGAAAGGCGATTCGGTAAAGTATCCGTAAATATCAGTCAAATTACACTGTCTTACAAAGATTTTGCAACGGGGATGGGGTATTTTTTTTTTGTGGCATTAGTAACAGGTCGAAGAAATCACTTTCGTGTAGTTATTATTGAGCAGGATTATTTATCGAGTTAATGTATGTATTTCTCACAGTTATCACAGAATTTTTTTTCTTACACTTCTCTGTATTTTCTGATTTGTCAGCTGGATTCCCATTACAGGGTCTTGCTGCTTACTTTTCTTGCCTTTTGTTTCTGGGAAAAACTGACCTAAATGCATAAGATTATGCAATTGTAAACTTTTCTACCAGGTAGTCTGGGTTGGTCTCTGCGGATGAGCTCGTTTCGGTCTTACGAACTCACAATTTGTTGTTTTTCATCAGAAAAGCTTAATTTTTGAAATTTATAGAAACTTCATAGAAAAATCGACATAGCTTTAATGTTCTTAAGCCTTTATGTATTTGGCTCGACATATTTGATGTTCGGCAAGCCAAAGCTAGCTTCCATTCTGGTTTCATAATAAGTTTTATACTTTGTGATCTTCCCTACAGCAGCTATACGATGCAAAAACCATGCCTGGGCGATTTTGAATTCTGATCTTTTTTGGAAGGGAGCTATCCGATATAGTTGCCCGATCCGACCCGGTCCGACTTATATACTGCGTGAAATAACTACACAACTTTTGGTAAAGTTTCAGCAAGATAGCTTTAAAACTAAAAGACTAGTTTATATAGAAACAGACAGACGGACACTCGTACAGACGTAAAGACGAATTTCGATTCAGATTGTGTTGCTGATCAAGAATATATATGCCTTATGGGGTGTGAGGTGTCTCCACCACTGCCTTGTAAACGTCTTACTGAAATTATAATACCCTTTGCTCTACAAGGGTATACAAATACATATATTGAAATTATTATGACGTAAGAATAAAACTAACAAAAAACAAGAAAAGAAGCTAGCTGCGGCAAGCCGAAGCTTATATACCTTGCAGTCATCAAATAGAGTATGTCGAACAGAATACATAAAGGCTTAACAACACCGAAGCTATGACGATTTTTCTATGTATATGACATGGTTATCCGATTTTGATAAAATTTAATTCGTAATTCAAGAATCTATAGAAAACTCTGTGTTCCAAAAATATTGCCTGCCTGATGAAGAACAACGATGTCATAATGTTATTTCCGTTGTTTCTATATAGATTTTCCGATCTTTCCTATGTCAGCTATATGATAACGAGGTCGGACTTAAATGAAATTTTTTTTCTCGATTCAAGGATTTCTAAAAACTCCATATTTTGAAAATTATGCTCGTGGGATTAAAAACCACGATGTTAAAATGTTTTTCCATTATTTATATATTTTTTTTCAGATCTTTCCTATGGCAGCTATATGATAGGGTTACCCGATTTCGATAAAATTTAATCCGAAATTCAATAGTAGTTGGAAAATGCTATCTGGAGAAATTAAGTCGCTCTGATAAAAAACAACGGCGTAAGAATTTTTTTTTTCATTCTCTCGTATGGGAGCTATCCGATATAGTCGGCCGATCCGGCCCGTTTCGACTTATATACTGCGTGCAATAACTTGCAATAACGCACAACTTTTGGGAAAGTTTCAGCAGGATATTTACATAGAAACAGACTGATGGACAGAAGGACAGATGGTCAGATGGTCAGATGGTCAGATGGTCAGATGGTCAGATGGTCAGATAGTCAGATGGACAGACGGACAGATGTACATACATATTTCGCTTCAGATTGTGATGCTGATCAAGAATATACATATATACTTTGTGGGGTCTAAGGTGTCTCCTTCACTGCGTTGCAAACTTCTGGCCAAAATTATAATACCCTTTGCTCTGCAAGGGTATAAAAAAAATCGTAATAGACAGAAGTTCTAAATAAATTGAGTATAAGTTTCGACAGCAACGGCTGCGTAGTTATGAGTAGCAACCAAATATTTTATCCACATTTTTGTTACATAAAAATTTTCGCACCACAGAGTTTAATGTAAATATACGTAAAAATGGCATACATTTTGTTAGACATTAGACAGAACAGAGTTAGAACGACTCCTCTAATGATCCTAGTTTAGAATATGCATACTTTGCTCCCTTTTACTATAACGGCGATATCAACAGCTAACTGACAATAGGCTAAAACAAGTAGATTTACGCTCTCTCGAGTTGCGATATATAATGAACCCGGCTCCATGGGTGGCCCCAATGAAATCTTAAAAGCTTCTCAGTATAGGTAAGTTTTTGAAATAGTAGCTCTAGCAACAGTATTAAGCCTGGGAAAAAAGATAAGCAAAGTAAATTTTCGAGGCCCATAATTTAAAAGACAAAAATACCTGCAGACAGTGCACCAACTCCAAGTGCGATGAAGGCGCCTTGCAGCATGCGAAGATTTAGCGGGCCGATAACGTCTCTCTTGTGAATTCGACTCTGAATTTCTATGTTTTTACTATGGATTCCGGCCTTAACGTTTTCTGTAGTGCTTAATTCTTTAGTATGCTGGGTGTTGCTCTTGGGCCTTTTTCGGGACTGTACAACGTATTCGGCAGTTGTCATCTTTTCGAGGATTCCTCCCTCAAACAAGTGAATAAGGCTAACAAGAGAATAAGGAATTAAACAATTATTGGCAGGCCAAGGTATTTTTGAAAAAACCAAGAGTAAATTCATAAATTTATGTATTTTAGATTAAAACAAGAAAGGAAGCTATCTTCGGCAAGCCGAAGCTTATATACCCTTGCAGTCATTAAATATGTCGAACAAAATGCATAAAGGCTAAACAACATCGAAGCTATAACGATTTTTCTAGTCATTCTCCATATTTCCGACTATAGATCATATGGGAGCTATATGATATAGTTGTCCGATTTTGATGAAATTTAATTCGTAATTTAAGAGTCGTAAGAAAACTCTATATTTCAAAAATCATACTTGTCTGATGAAAAACCACGATGTTATAATTTTACTTCCGTTTTTTTTTATATAGATTTTTCGATCTTTCCTATGACAGCTATAAGATATAGTTGTCCGATTTTTATGAAACTTTTTTCTCGATATAAGAGTTGTTAAAACACTTGATGTTCCAAAAATCATGCTCATGGGATAAAAAACAACGATGTTATCAATTTATTTCCATTAATTCTATATATATTTTTTGATCTCTCATATGGCAGCTATATGATAGAGTTATCCGATTTTTATCAAATTTAATCCGAAATTCAATAGTAGTTAGAAAACGCCATCTGGAAAAATTCAAGTCGATCTGATCAAAAACAACGGCCTGAGAATTTTTTATTTCATTCTCTCGTATTGGAGCTATCCGATATAGTCGGCCGATCCGGCACGTTCCGACTTATATACTGCGTGCAATAACTACACACCTTTTGGGAAAGTTTCAGCAAGATAGCTTTAAAACTGAGAGACTAGTTTGAAGAGAAACAGACAGACGGACAGACGGCCAGACGGACAGACGGACAGACGTACAGACGTATTCTGATTCTACTCGTGATGCTGATCAAGAATATATACAAGTGTATACTTGTATACTTTATGGGGTCTGAGGTGTCTCCTTCACTGCGTTGCAAACTCCTGACTGAAATAATAATACCTTTTTGCTCTGCAAGGGTATAATGACTGTGTTGCTTTTGGTATACGAAAGATCTACAAGATCAATTCTTTATATGACGGTGTTACCGTGTTATTTTATCAATGTGGGCAGGATTTGCTGTCTGTTAATGTTATGTTATTTTTCAATTGTTATTTTCTAAAGATTCAAACCCCCCAATCTGCAATTCCACATAATTTTTAAGTTTATTTTACATATTTTTCCGGCAGAGGGTGAAAGTAAGAGGTAAAGTTTAGTTAAGACACCAATTTTTTAACCAATTCTTTGGAGTAACCTAAACTGTTTGTCTGAAAAACGACTTAGTTTGAATTAGTGGAAACCTTGGAAAACCCAACTAGGATCCAAAGCTAAAACCCAAAGCAATTAAAAAAAAATTGAAACATAGATGACGCCTAGCTAAGCTATGGCGAAGTGTATTTGCCATTAAAGTTTTTTTTTTTTTTTTTTTTATAGCTTTGCTTTTATTTATTGAATCTACTCTTAATTTTGAGACTAACAATAAGTTGGCGAATCTTAACATTAAAATTTAACTACCAGTATACTAAGACTGCATTCTGGTTGCGCGTCCCTCAGGTCGTTCGCTGGGTGGGTAAGTCATTGCGACCAAGGCGTGACCTTGTTAGACCTCTCGCCAGGTGGTTAGGGTGCACCAATAGCTTGGTTAAGTACTTTGCCTTCTGTTCAGCGATCACTTCTTTGACTGGTAGAATGTTTAAGTCGCGGTGTATGTTTTAGGTGTGTTCTTTTGGCTTCAATGTGCCGGCGCCATGTGAGTCTTCTGTCGAGATGTAGGTATGTTACTTCGTTTGCTTGTGGGAGTAGGGTGTTGTTTAATGTAATCGGCGGGCAGTTTTGCCTGTTCAGAGTGAACGTAACGTGCTTGCATTTTAGTTCGTTCACTTTAATTCGCCAATCTGACAGCCATTTTTCAACATCGACCAAATGAAGAGCTAGCTGCGCAGTTGCTTGAATCGGGCATTTTGAGCGGCTAAGAATAGCTGTGTCATCGGCAAACGTGGATGTTGTTAGACGTGTGCTTGTCGGGATGTCTGCTGTGTACAGGACATGTAAAATTGGTCCTAGCACGCTACCTTGAGGAACTCCAGCTCCAACAGTGTAATCGTCAGAAATTGCAGTGTTGCACCTCACGACAAATTTTCTGTCGTAAAGGTAAGACTCTAAAATCTTGTGGGTGCTGTAGGGGAGCATTGTCTTGATCTTGTACATTAGACCTTCTAGCCAGACTCTATCAAATGCTTGAGAGACATCTAAAAATATGGCTGTACAGTACTCCCGTTTTTCGAACGCGTTCCGAATTTCGGATGTTATCCGGTTGACCTGCTCAATTGTTCCATGCTTTTCAGGAAACCCAAATTGGTGTGACGGGATTCCTTCCTGGATTCTCAGGTATTTGTTTATCCGAGTCATTAGGCATTTTTCAAACAGTTTGGATAGGCAAGAGAGTAGGCTTATAGGTCTATACGACGTGGGGATAGTGTGGTCTTTCCAGGGCTTTGCTATCATTATTATAATTGACTTTTTCCATCTCACTGGAAAGTGGCCAAGTTTTGCGATGGCATTAAATAGCTGGGTGAGAGTGCAAACGGCGCAGTATGGGAGCTTAATGATCATTTTGGGAGTTATGAGGTCGCAGCCCGGGGATTTTTTCGGATTCAGTTGTCTTTTGATGATGTTAACGATTTCATTTGGGCGAAACTCGATTGGCTCATGTTGAGGCTGGGGTTCATATGATAGAGTCGGCAAAGTAAACGCATTGGTGGCAGGATTTGGTTGGAAGACATTTTTAAGGTGTTTGGCAAACGTGCTGGCTCTGTCTGCGTCGCTGCGCGCCCACCCGCCTGTGGAATTTCTAATTGGCATCACGGTTTCTTTCGGTGAGCTCATAGTTGGGTGAGCTCTCCATAGTGAGTGTTTTCTACTGTTAGTTGACAATTGCTCTATGTAGCGGCGGTGGACATACGTTTCTTCTTGCTGTAGAGCTTGATCAAGCAGATGGCGATCTGTGAGATTGCCATTCTCGACGTAAGCGTCGCTTTTCGAGGACGAGCTGTTCGATTTGTAGATTTGTCTTCTTTTGAATGTATTGTGTGTTTGTAGTTTGAGGTGTTGAAACTCGAGCTGCAGAGACGAGTACAGACTCCAGTGAATTAACAAAACTGTCTACGTTGGCTTCGTCGCTGAGGTGAGGACTCAGCTCAGGGGCGGACGCAGGAAAAAAATTTTGGGGGGTCCGGTCGAAAAATTTTTTCGTTTGGGGGGTCCGATCAAAAAATTTTTAGTTTATATGGTTGAAAGGCCGTGTGCTGTAAGGGAATTTGAAAAAGTCTGAGATTTGCGTCCGCCCCTGACTCAGCTCAATGTGTGAGCTGATATACTTCCTGTACTTAACCCAATTGGTTTTATGTGAGGTCAGTTTTGATGAGTGATCCCATGTTCCTGGGTGTCGGAGTAGAGTAAAGAGGACAGGCGAGTGGTCAGATGAAAGATCCGAAAGGCATTCGGCGCTTATCATATTTTTAGGAATGTTTTTGGTAATCGCAAAGTCTATTAAATCGGGAAATTTCTTTGGGTCTGCCGGCCAGTATGTTGGAGTCCCAGAAGAAACATAGTCTAGCTTGTTCTTAGCTTTGATAATTGCATTATAGAGCTGCTTTCCTTTTGGGGTCACGAGACGAGATCCCCAGTGTGTGTGCTGGGTGCATGGCATAACGCCCAGTGTCATAGCGCCCACGGGCGCTATGACACGAACAATTGTGTCATTGCGCCCGCGGGCGTTCCGTCACTTTTTGAAAGTGTCATATCGCCCGCGGGCGCTATGTCATTTTTCTTGTGGGCCTTATGATACTATGAGAAGTGCATTAACGCCCGAACCTTATAATAATGAAATACCTGGTATAAATGGGTGCATGTAAGTGCGGATCAGAAGAGATCCAACAGCCGGGTACAGAGTCAATCGACTCAGGAGGGAGCAGCCCGAACCTGATAGTAATGAAATACCTGGTATAAATAGCCGCCCAGCATAATTTGTCGTGAGAATCGAGTGCTCAATAGCGTAAGAAGCGCCGCAGGCAAAAATTTTTGCTTGCGCTTTTAATAAAGTAAATTTAAACACAAAATTGTGTTAACATGTCATTTATTTCATTTAAACATTATTGATAAACTTTGATTTGGCTGTCTACTATTTGCCTGCAATATGGGCAGAGCAATAGAGGCTTCGCCGCTTTCATTTTCATCACCTTGTAGCACTCAAAACGTATTTTGAAGTGGCTACAAGGTAATAGTACCACATCACGCGGAGTGTCAAGGCAAATTATACAATTAAGAACTTCAACCATTTGACTGAAGTGTAAAGTATTGTCCTCATCTTCATCTTCACTATTATCTGAGCATGACTGCTCTTCAAATGTGGTGTCCCACCTAATCAAATCATTTTTTTGATTAATTAGGCTGCCAAAAAACTCGTTTTGCAAGTTTTAAGAAAATGAGGGCGTTATGACACAGGTTGCAAATGTCATAAGGCCCACGGGCGCTGTGACATTTCCGGTGCGGGCGATATGACACTTTTAGAAGTGTCAGAACGCCCGCGGGCGCTATGACACAAACAATTGTGTCATAGCGCCCGCGGGCGTTCTGACACTGGGCGTTATGACATGCACCCGTGTGTGCTTGGCATTGTAGTCTCCTGCTGCTATGAAGTGGTCTCCGAGTGAGTTGAAAAACTGCATAAACTCATCTTCGGCTATGGTGAAGCGTGGGGGTAGTATACGGCGGCTAGAGTTAGTTGCTTGCCAGTATTTAGGTGTATATTTATTGATGTGGCCTGTATGTAGTTTTTAGCAAATTTTGTATGGTAATGGTGCTTAATACGGCTTCTGATTAAAATTCCAGTCCCGCCGTGTGCTTTACCATCTGGATGATTTGTTTCATAGAATGTATATCCTCGTAGTTGG